TGCTCCTCCTCCTCCTCCTCCTCCTCCTCCTGCTCCTCCTCCTCCTACTCTCTGCTCCTCCTCCCCCTCCAGAGCCTCAACGCCACGTTGTGAGATCCTGGCGCCCCAAGCCCTCGCAAAGGGCTCGCGAGGACCAGGCCCGCCAGGCCCGCCCAAACCCTTTCACGCCCAAGCCCTTTTTCCACAGGGCGACAGGGCCAGCCCCGTTCACTTGGCGGCGCGTACAAGGGTGGCACGGGCTGGGGGAAGGCTTCTACGAGAGAGGGGCTGCTTCTCCGAAGGCGCGGGCCACACCTCTGTAGATGTAAGGCCCGCGCCTTCTGAGAAGCAGCCTTTTTGATGTTCTCTCTCTCTCTCTCTCTGAGAAGCTACCCCCATGAACTGCCCACACCCCACCGCGCTCGCCCGCGCCGCCAAGTGAAAGGGGCTGGCCCCTGTTCGCCCTTTGGAAAAAGGGCTTGGGCGTGAAAAGGCTTGGGCGGGCCTGGCGGGCCTGGCCCTCGCGAGCCCTTCGCGGGGGCGCGAGGCGCCAGGATCTCAGGGACCCTTCCTGGCACCAGGAGGGCCTGGGTGTACGAACAAATGGCGGGAGTTGAGGAACTTTCTCGAGGAGGAGGAGGGGGAGGGGGAGGAGGAGGAGGAGGAGGAGGAGGAGGAGGAGGAGGAGGAGGAGGAGGAGGAGGGAGGAGGAGGAGGAGAGGGAGAGAGGAGGAGGAGCAGTTTGCAGTAGCAGGAGCAGGTAGGAGCAGGAGGAGGGAGGAGGAGGAGAGGAGGAGGAGGAGGAGGAGGGGAGGGAGGAGGAGGAGGAGGAGGAGGAGGAGGAGGAGGAGGAGGAGGAGGAAAAGGAGGGAGGAAGGAGGAGGAGAATGAGGAGAAGGAGGAGGAGGAGGAGGAGGAGGAGGAGGACGGGAGGAGGAGGAGGAAGCAGGAGGAGGAGGGAAGGAGGAGGAGGAGGGAGAAGAGGAGAAGAAGAGGAGGAGGAGGAGGAGAGAGGAGGAGGAAGGATTCCAGATTCAGGGTTCCAGGGATCTTAGGCGCCCCCCTCCTGCGTGCCGCGAGGGGGGGCTGACAGGGCCAGGCACCTTGCACGCCACAGAGCCTTTTCACGCCACGCGCCCTTAGCAGAAGGAGGCCTCCCGCTCCTCAGGAATGAGGCACCTCCACAGGGCTCCTGACTCCGCCCCCTGTCCTTTGTAGGCTCCTTGCCACCATCGCCTCGCAGCAGCGGCTGCCCCCCCCACACACCCCGCCTTGACTGCTTGACTGCTTGGCTGCTTGATTGATTTTCTCAGGCAGCTCCTCCTCCTCCTCCTCCTCCGCCTCCTCCGCCTCCTCCTCCTCTTCTTCTGCTTCCTCTTCCTCTTCCTCTTCCTCTTCTCTCCTCCGCCTCCTTCTCCTCCTTCTCCTCCTCCTCGTCGTCCTTCCTCCTCTTCTTCCTCCCCCCCAGAAAATCAGTTAAGCAGTCAAGAGCCGAGGCAGTCCCTCCCGAGAAAGTCAGTCAAGCAGTTTAGCAGAGCTGCTGCTTGACTGCCTGACTGATTCTCTCTGTGCCCCATACCCCTCGGCCGTTTCCAAGGGCAGGGCCCCCCTACGAAGGCCTTTCCACCAAGGCCCTGCTACCGGTCGAGGCGGTTCCTTTGCGCCAGCCGCTGGGTCGGAGGCATACAGCCTAGAGAGTCGCGTGGCATCGCCCAGACGTGCGCATTGTTGTTTCGGCGAGGCTCGGGGGAGGAACAGGTACCCATACCGGCCCGTACCACTACCCGTGCCTTGTTTCCCTCGTTTGTGGCCTCCTTGGAGGCTCTCCGCTGGATTCACTACAAAATTCTTGTCAGAACGCGCCGCGGGAAAGGTCTGGGGCGTAGTAGTATCGGTACCTTTTGGTTCCCCCAAATGCCAGTGCCAGAACATCTTGACCATCTTGGAGCATCTTGGGTCAGCTCAGGGAGACCAAACAGTGCACGGGGGATGGACGCCCGATCAGCAGCAAGGTCGCCATGAGGACCCGTCTGGTTCGTGCGGAAGGCGCCTCCTCGGGAGTTGCCCCGCCCTCCCTCCGGCGCGCCGCCAGCTTAGGTCGGCGGCGGGGGGGGCAAGTGAGAAGGAGAAGGCCTTCTCAGAAGGCTCGGAAGTCCCCCGGCCTTCTGAGAAATTTCCTTAGTCTTCCCCGAGGACGCAGAAAGCCTCCCAGAAGGCGCGAGGGCTTCTGAGAAGTCCCGCCGCCTCCTGAGAAGGCCTTCTCCTTCTCACTTCCCCCCTCGCTCGCCGCCGAGCGAGGAGGGTTTGGTTTTCGCGTCATCGCTCGGGCCTCCGGCGGCCGTTCGAGACGATCCGGGCCGCCCCAGGAACGCTCTTGGCGAGGCGCAGCCGCTGGAACGCATCCCGAGGGCGGACGACCGCCAAGATACTGCAACGCCCGCAAAAAGCAGAACCTCGAAGTTCGAACCTCGAAGTTCCCCCCTTCGCGCGCCACCCAAACGGAGGTCCTCACCAACTTCGGCGTGTTCGGCGGCGACGGCGAGGCCGCCCCCCAGGAGCTGCAGCGCACCCCGCGGCACGGCGACGCCACCCGGCGCGATCTCGAGATCCTCTCCTGGCTCCGCGAACGCCGGGGGCGCGTGGCCGCGTGGGCGGCGCTGGACGCCTCGGACCTCCTCAGGTGCCGACGATCCTTAGGACGTGCGTTGGGCCTTAGGTGGTGGGTTGGAGTGGGGTGGCGTGTTCTAACTCCTCCTTCTTTTTTCCCCCCGTGGTTCCCCGTCTCTTCTTCTTCTTCTTCTTCCTTCTTCTTCTCACTCCCCTTCCCCCTCCTCCTCCTCCTACTCCTCCTTACCCTTCCCTCCCTCCTCTCCTCCTCGTCCTCCTCTCCTCCTAGCCTCCTCCTCCTCCTCCTCCTCCTCCTCCTCCTCCTCCTCCTCTTCTTCCTCCAGGTGCCGACGATCCCCAAATTACGTGCGTTAGCTGGGTGCCCGAGGTGCCCTGACCCCTTCGCGCTGTGAAAACCAACACGGCGGGAGATGTTTCCCCTGTTTTTGTCGGCCTCCGGGGGCCCTCACCGTGCCCCGGGGTCGTCAAGGAACGACTCAGGACGACAAACTGGTCCTGGGGAAGGGGTCCAGACCCCTACGGTTAAGTCGGGCGTGTCCCCTTACAGGGGGAATATTCCCAAATAGTTAAGAATAATAGTCTGGGGGCGATGTTTGGACTATTTTTGGATATTTGGGGGTATGTTTTGAGTTTTGTTTTTTTTGTTCGCCCAAAATCTTTCTGTAGGGGTACACGCCCGACTTCACTCTACGGGGGTCGACGTTGTGACGTGCGTGAACTAGCCAAGTGTCCGAGGTTCGAGTTTCGAGTTCCCCTGAGATCCTGACGTTTCAATTGTTTCGAGCTGGGCGTTTTCGCTTTTTTCCAGGCCCCCGGACAGCCACAGATCGATCGGGTTCGAAAAATGACGCAGAACGATGGGGTCCAGGGCTCCAGGGCGTTTTTTTTTTCTATGTCGCATTCTTGTTTGCAACTTCGGATCGCAGGGTCAGATGCTTGCACGCGTTTTCGTCGCTCCTCGTCGGTTTTCCAGCCTCGGGGTGCGTTCCAGCAGCTGCGCCTCGCCGAGAACGTTCCAGGGTTGCCCGGCTCGTCCCAATCGGCAGCATGAGGCCCGCATTGTCGCCGAAGGCCGAAGCTGGAGTCAGGAGCAGCGTTTTCCTATGTATTTACGTATGCATGCATGCATGGATGGATGGATAAATGTATGTGTGTATGCATGTATGTATGTATGAATGCATGCATGCATGCATGTATGTAGGTACGTAGCACCCCGCAATTGCGGATAAGAGTGAGGGGGCGGGCGCGGGCGACGCGGGCGTCGTCGAGCCGGCGGACCTCGTGGCCCCCACCTTCCTTGTCGATGGCGCTCTCCTCCACCTCCTCCTCCTCCTCCTTCTCCTCTTCCTCCTCCTTCTCCTCCTCCTCTTCCTCGTCCTCATCGTCATCGTCATCCTCCTCCTCCACCTCGTCCTCCTCCTCCGCCTCTTCTTCCTCGTCCTCCCTCTCCCCCCTCTCGTCTTTTCATCGTGGCCCTCCCACTGTCGTCCTCCCCCTCATCGGCCTCCATCATCGTCCTCCCATTGTCGTCCATCATCATCATCCTCCCTATCCTCCCCCTCCTCGTCCTCCTCCTCCCCCTCCTCCCCCTCCTCCCCCTCGTCCTCCTGCTCCTCTCCTTTTCTTTCTCCACGTTCTCCTTACATCCTCTCTTCTTCCACGTTCTCCTCGTCCCCTGTTTACTCATCCTGCCTCCCCCTCCTTTCCAAGATAACTGCAACGCAATCCTTTTTTCCACTTTATGCTCCCCGCCTTCTCTGATCAAGGCAACTCGCCAGGGCAAAGTTGCTGGACGGGCTGGCGTGGATGTGCGGGGCGTGAAGAGGTCCTTGCGGGCTCAGACGGCATGCAAGAATCCGCCGCCGCGCTTGTGCGGCATTGGTTTGTTCAGTGAACGTGGTTTAGGTCGCGGGTGGGTCGCGGGCTCTCCACCTCCACCTGGAAGGAATGCAAAAGCAGCCCGCCGCAAGCGCCAAACAAATTGGTTCGTACACGGAACGAGGTTTGGGTCGCGGGTGGGCCGCGGGTTCTCCACAGGGAACGAATGCAAAGGATGCCCGCCGCAGGCGCCGAAAATGTGGTTTGTACCCTGAACGTGGTCGCGGGTGGGCCGCGGGCTCTCCACCTGAAACGAATGCAAAATATGCCCGCCGCAGGCGCCGAAAAATGTGGTTTGTACCCTGAACGTGGTTTGGGTCGCGGGTTGGTCGCGAGTTGGTCACGGGATGTGTCGCGGGCTCTCCACTTGGAAGGAATGCAAAAAAGCCCGCCGCAGGCGCCGAAAATTGTGGTTTGTACCTTGAACGTGGTTTGGGTCGAAGGTGGGTCGCGGGTGGGTCGCGGGGTAGGTCGCGGGTGGGTCGCGGTGGGTCGCGGGTGGGTCGCGGGTGGG